AAGAAATATGTTAATTAGCTATAAATTATGCAAAAATCATTGATTATGGGCTCCAGAAAATCGTAACTCGCGCCAAATACAGATTGATACCCGCAGGTTTTTCTTCAGATCTTCTGAAACTAAGTATAAATCATTACAGCCAAGCACATTTCAGCGTAATTTTAGGTCCCCATTTGGAGATCTCAGGCTTCGATTTTAGTGTAATTTTGTAGACCGAACAAGATGCAAAAACCGGTGTGCCGTCAAGTTGCTGTCGTTTATTCACGATTTGTTCAAATGCTCTTATTTTTTGGAACAGGAAACCTGAATTGTGTCTTAACCTGTTGATCTAATTGAAATTTGGAAATAATCAGGCGTTTTGACTCAGCGCGGCTCTACAATTTACCGAAATTCAACCTTCGATTTTGCTTGAAAATAGCTCTGCAAGGGTAAATTGAGTTTCGGCGTCTAGCGAAGCCATAAAAAAGAATTTTCAAAAAATAAATTTATTTTGGACACTTGTATACCAATGGCTTTCAACACACAAAAAATAAAGGAAATCTATTTTCCGAAGTCAAAGTCATCGGACCGCTCTTAGCGGGACTGCCACTTAAATCACTTGATTAGCATAAATGTGATGACATGCATGCATAGTCAATCTCACCATAACAAACACGTCTTTTGTGTTTTTCGTGCTTGTGTTTCGATGTTTTTCCATTTTTAGAGAACATCTTGAATTGACTTAGCTGTATCTGGTTGCGGGAAACTCACAAACATTAAAAAATGCATTGTTTTAGATATCGATGAGTGCGATCGTGACATGCATGAATGTGATGGCAACGCAACATGTACAAATACAAGAGGAGGTTACAACTGTACCTGTTATAACGGTTTCAGTGGCAATGGATATGTTTGTGAAGGTGAATTAGTTGTCCTTTTAAAATTGATTACAAATAATCAAATTTACTAATTATTTTCCTGATATTGTTCGTTTTAGCCTGAAATGTTTTTAGAGATGATAGAGTAATGATGAATCTTTTATCATTCTTTATGACGTTTAATTCCACGTTTCATGCCATGCGAAGAGTTCTCAATTTCCGAACGATTACGATTACGTCCATACACGTAGTTATAATAATTGTATAAGTGATAAATGGGGACGGAAAGTACAGCGGATAGATAACAATGGTTGCGGTCATGCATAATTAGCGAATTGTGGAAATGAAACAGAATATTTTATCTTTGGGACTTCTTTTTTATACCCACTAAAGTGACTACACGCAGACGAGCGTTAGGTGTCCTTCCACTTATATCTCTGGTAGTAATTTAGAAATCCAAAAGTTTCTGTTTCCAATATTGTTTTTATGTTTTCTACCGCAGAGATTGACGAGTGTGATGGTGAAAATGACTGTCATGAAAATGCCAATTGTACAAACACTGTTGGATCTTACAACTGCTCCTGTAATGATGGATTCGAAGGCAATGGTACACACTGCCAAGGTATAGCAGAGTATATATCGTTACATACTCCCGGAGGTTGTGCGTTCACTGTGGCTTGTTTGTTTGTTTTTTTGTTTGCTTTTTTGTTTGTTTGCTTTTTTGTTTGCTTTTTTGTTTGTTTGTTTGTTTGTTTGTTTGTTTGTTTGTTTGTTTGTTTGTTTGTTTGTTTGTTTGTTTGTTTGTTTTTCGCGCATTTCGGCAATTTTGTTGCTGCTATTACAGTTCAGTAATTTAGCTCATTTTAAGGCCAACGTTGGAAAAAAATAGTAAAAAGCTAAAAATTGTAAGATGCAGTAATTTAACTATCCTGAACAATATACTAAAAGTTCCCATGTATCCTCTTGCAGCTTTTCCAATTATGACAAGGTTTTTTCGATTTCCCTATTACTCCCATATTGTTAAAAAACGTGAAATTTCAAGTTCACTCATAACAAAAATGACACGCATCACTAGAAAGCTCATAAAAACTACATATAAGACATTTAAACAGTCACCTAAATTTTTCAAGCGGTTTTCGAGTTATTGCTGTTCCAAATGTGAAAAATAGGCCAAAATCTGGCAAAATCCTGGGTACTAGTCTGACAACACGTTTCCAACAGCTCATAACTCAAGAAGAACTTGCAAAATCAAGGTAGCCGTTTAAATGTCTTATATGTAGTTTTTTGTAAGTTTTCTAATGATGTAACTTATTTTTCCTATAAATGAACAATCTGAAATTTCACTTTCTTAACAATATAGGAGTTCACTAGGGAAACCGAACAAAAAACTTGTTATAATGGAGAAAGCTCCAAGAGGATACATGAGGACTTAATATGTTATCAAGGTTGCTGAAGAGAGTGCATACGCTAATTTTTTCTGTCCTATTTTCTATTTTGATTGAACCATTATTTTACCATAATCAATTGTCACATTTATAATGATTGATGAAATCACTATCTGGGCATAGGTTGCGCAATAGTTCTCGTTCTCGTACACTGTACCTACCTAGACATCAGTTATTTATCTAGTAGCCTGACCCGTTTCAAACATATAGAGTTATTTATAGGTCACAATTGTCTTACTCATTTTTTCAGCTAAACAGTACTGCAAGCATGTAATGTAATGTAATGTAATGTAATGTAATGTAATGTGATGTAATGTAATGTAACGTAACGTAACGTAACGTAACGTACTTAAGGGATTTATAGAGATGGAAATTTCGAATGTAATTTTTAGACATTTACTGGACTTGCGCGCATGCAGAAGCAGTTGGAAAAAATGCAACTGTAGTCCTGCAGGTTAGTTTCCTGCTAGAGGGAATTCTGCCACCCTGGACTCTTTCAGCGCATGATTCACGATAATATTCGTAAATTGTTCAGTTATAATCTTTCTTGCACAGGGCGTTAGCTACAGTAAAAAAAATCGGCGTTATACGCCATCTTCCCCGTTTGGTTTAGGTAGCAATTTCACATTTAAATTAGCCAAAACTAACATACAGTGTATAACTATTACGAAAAAGACTTTAAAATGTAACATTTAGGCAATACTATGTTAGTTGACTTCCACTTCAAAGGTTTCAATTTGGCTCAGCTAATCAACACCTTGCCCCAGGCCACGAGAATGCCACTTAAGAGATGTGACATATTTGAGGGTTCTGCCTTATTTGCGCAATACATGAGGTTTCTAATTGGCTGATTGAAAAATTATTTTCCTTCGTACCAACTAGTAAAAATAGTAAATATCTATAATGGTAAAAAGGCATCAGAATTGTACTTATGCTACTTCTGAATATACCGTTCATTTAGATATTGATGAGTGTGTTTCCGGAAACAATAATTGCCATGGTAATGCGAATTGTACCAATACAATTGGTTCCTACACATGTGAATGTAAGGAAGGTTTCACCGGTAATGGCTTAGATTGTGAAGGTAGGAGAAAAACTGATTTTTTTTACTTCATTCTGAAGGCATACAAGACATCTTGGTTTCACAGTGATGGCTATGAGTCATTTTACAGAACCTGAGATCTGTCGTATCGTATAAATGAGTTTTAGCGCTCTATTTGATAAACCTTCTTTTCCCGGTTCTTGTTTTGCTGGTTATTGTATGCACTTCGCTGGGACGGTAGCTTGACCTAATTTACTCTAGCTATATCAGCCGCTCCAGTGTAACTTTATTTTATTTTTCTCGCTCTGCAATCTTATAATTCTCGATACATACATACATATATACATACAAAACTTTATTTAAACCACGCTAGCCTCAACAGCCGTTGGAAGGCTGGTTTCCATGAGAGGCGTGAAATTACCTATTTACAAGAAATTGACTAAATACAAGAAATACAAAATATAACAAAAAAAATACAAGTGATTTTAGCTGCACGATTACACACAAGCAAATTTCAACTCATTCTTTGTTTCAATATCGATTTGAAAGAGCTTAAGGATTCAGCAATTTTTGCGTCATGGGGAAGATTATTCCAATGCAAGGCACCATTATAACTGAAGCACCTCTTGCCGAATTCTTTTTTCGGCATAGGTGGTGCTAAATCAATATCCCTATTTCTAAGATTGTAAGTATTATGTCTAGATACATTGTACACATGTGCTTTTCTCATTGGAGAATTTCAATTTGAATTATAATTGAGTGCATCCGCCATGCATAAATGAAGCCTGCAATGCCAACCATGTTGGTGTGATCACTGGTATTGCTGACATGTTAGAAGAGGTTCTGACATGCAGTTTCTTGTTATTCTGGGGAAAGGATACAGATTGTCTAGATAGAAATTGGTGATCAGTAACCTGCCTTGTGTCTTATAATTGCTAGGGTCGGTTGTTCAAAGCTGGGTTAACGCTAACCCTGGGTTGTACTTTTAACAACTACTAAAACATAAATAAACCAATTTCGTGGGTACCAGTCCTATATTCTAAAGTTTTCAGATAAGCTTGTTCTATCGGCGAAATTTCTGAGTGAGGTTGTACTTTTAACAACTTCTAAAATCATAAAGAAACCAATTTCTTGGGTACCAGTCCTAGTTTTCTGTTCAGTAACCTTACAGTACACATTTATATCCGAATATATTTATTGTATAAATATATATTTAATTTAGATGAATTCCGAGAACTCGTTCTTGCGATGGTAATACGACTTGGTACTTGGTGATATCTTAATATTTATATATCTTATATTAATTTTAGATATTGACGAATGTGCTGATGCATCACATAATTGCCATGACAATGCGAACTGTACTAACACAACTGGCTCTTTTACCTGTGTGTGCCGTGAAGGTTTCAGCGGAGATGGCGTAAATTGCGAAGGTATGAGAAATACTTAATGACAGTCTTTTTTTGCATTCATTGGTATAAATATTCAGAAGATATGAAATGTTGTTTTAAATATTTAGTGCATGTTTCGTGCGTGGCAGGGCGCATCGATTGATTGATTGATTTTGGCTGTCATCTGTATTTAAACACGAAGTCCATTCACAACAAAAATTTGTGCTTAACTTGTGACGCTCCTTGAAACTCAAGATATGAGTCAAAACAAGACGAGAATGAGTTTGTGATGTTTCGATATTATTTCGAAAAGCATCGTCAGACTAATTCTGCTGATGATTACGGTAACATAGTTAACTATATATATTACTCGCTGTTTATATATGTTATTTATACTGTGCAAATGTTCCTGTGCTGTTTTGTTCTTGTTAAACCAGGTCGTCAACGTAGTTGGCCTACGTTGTGTTGACGTTTCTGTGCCGTTTTGTACTAAATATAAATAATATAAATATAAATAATAAATAAATACTTGCTACGAGTTGTTTCAACAAGTCTAATCCAGACTGTTTGTAACAAGTTGCTATCAACTTGTTAACAACTTTTCACGTGCCGACGATATCAGACTTTTTGGAACAACTTGTTTCGATTCTGTTGGCGACGCCACTATTCCTACAAGATGATAACATTTTGATCCTACAACTGAGGTCAAACAGTACGGATACAATTTCTTGACAAACATTTTTTACACCTGTAGCCGGATTGAAGCTTTGGATAGCATAACCGTCTTCCTTGACAGTCAGTCTGGTTATTTTGTCGTTGTATTCCATTTGTCAGAGATGGTCAATACATGCCTTCTTGGAAGAACGACAACTGATATAAAATCATCTAGCACAAGTCAAGTGTAGTTACTGTCAACAACTCTATAATGAAAACAGAAAAAAATATATTTAATGGTAAAAATTATTATAGGCTTCTAATTATGTTACTTATGAATATTTCCTCGTTTAGATATTGATGAATGCGCTTTGGAAAGCGATGATTGTCATGATAATGCGAATTGTACTAATACAAATAGTTCCTACACGTGTCAATGTAAGGAAGGTTTCACTGGAAATGGCGTAGTTTGTGAAGGTAGGATAAAAACTGATTTTCTTTTTCAATATCCATTCCGAAGATGTACGAAATACAGTGTACTATGTACATCTTTGAAACATTGTACAGAACCTCAGGTGAACCATTAATTGCAGGACCTTTATCTTTGTCAGATTTTTCCCTCTGCCTTTTCAAATTTCAAAGGACTCTAAACTATCTATATATCTATCGATTTAGTGGAAAACATTTTTCAGCACAGGTATTACTACGTCGTTTCCCGGTCATGGCCAAGCCTTTCTCATATAAATGAGTTTTAGTGTCCAATGTGATGATGCATACGATTATATCGACTTCATGCATGCCGACAGTTCTCTGAAAGAATCATTTTCATTCGGGGAAGTACTACTCGAAGACAAATAATATCAATGATGATGACAGTATATGGCCAGTTTCCCGAGTTGAAATCAATTTTCTTGAAATATTGCAAACCTGTAGAAAATATTTCAGTCGTGCATGGCAATCAGATAAATTTCGATTGCCACCCCATAAAATACCCAACACGTTATTTTGTACACTGTACATGCATCTTAGCAGCTTTGAATTTGTTACCAAAAGTTCCGATATTTATTTGAAAAACGTTCATCAACATTCTTTTTCCTCAATTTTCTATTGTTTTTTTATCTGCATGATTGGGACAGAGTCGTGGTATAACTCACATGCTGTTTTTACATTTGGGAATTTTAAGCGGATCTTAAATATATAGTAATAGTTTAATTAAATGTGCTTGATATACCATGGGGTGGTTAGCGAAGTTAAAATGGCCGAAAAGTGTGAAGAATATCCAAAAAATTGGTTTCTCCATTTTTATATTTTCGCTTACGACCTTCCTCTCGGAAAATCCGGCGATAGACTACTATTGATATTGTTTCTTATGAATTTATGAAATATATCTTATATTAATTTTAGATATTGACGAATGTGCTGATGCATCCTCACATAATTGCGATGACAATGCAAACTGTACTAATACCACTGGTTCTTTTACATGTGTGTGTCGTGAAGGTTTCAGCGGCGATGGCGTAAATTGCCAAAGTATGAGAAATATCTTTATTAACTTTATCTATGAAATGTTGATAAGAAATGGAATTTTAGTGCATGACATGTATACTTTTTGCAGTAGAGCGCTTTTAATCAGGCTAACATTTTCAGTATTTCTTTATTTATTTACACCAAAATAACAGAATACTGATTGACTGGGGGAGTAGGATTGTTTCCTTGGTTTGATTAATTTATAATGCACGTAAATATGTTTTATCCAACAAACTACTTCTTGCTTTAAATTGCAAATCGAAATCGCTTTATAGCAGTTTATAATATAAGTGGGATATAACAGATAATTTGATTGGCTAATGCGCGTACATTTTGACGTATAATAATGCAATGTTCCGTGGCACTGCCTTGCTCTTTCTGTGTTTTCCCCTCTTTATCTCTGCTTTTTAGCCCAAAATATAAACAAACCTATAGCTAGAGCTTTTAAAATGCGAAATTTATCAGAAAGCAAGAAGGAATTGACCAAAGAAACAAAGCAATTTTATCTATATATAGTTCTATGTGTGAAAACAGTAAAATTAACCGGCTTGGTATTCGTCAATTTTCTTCTCTCTCGACAAGTTTTGGGCAATTAAAAGCGTGCAAAATAGCCGAGGAAAAACTTGAAAAAGACATAGGAATGACAAAAATATAGAAAAAGGAAAAAAAAACTGAACATAAGTGATTTAGAAAAGTACCTTCAATGCTTACCCTACGACTTAACGTCTTTCATGGCAAATCCAACAGCGCAAAGGCTGAAAAACATTAGCAAATTAGTGTGTGTACCACTGGAGTTTTTTCTCCCTCATTTTAGTTTCTCCGCAACATTAGCATCAAAATGATATTAAAATTTTATATTGATTTTACTCCTTTGCTCGCTTAAAAATTCAAACGTCAGTACAAGGCTAAAAGCATGCGCGTGATGTCACTGAGTACATGTTAGGCGAATTTCAAAGTTGATCTTTTGAGTAAACTTGGTTATACCATGTAATATTTTCCACTGATATTATAAAAGAAATAAAACTCGTCTCATGCTTTTATGGTGTGATAATTCACTCGGGGAATGTTGGGAGAATACTCGAGAAGCGTGTAAAACACTCGGCTACGCCTCGAGTTATGCTGAATGTTTTTCCTATATGTGTTACCTATAAAGCTCGCAAAGAACTTGAGCTGTAAGCTGAGCGAATATTCATATTTATGAATTGTAAAGTTTCATGTTAAATATTTATGGCAATGAAAGCAATTAATTATTATCAAAATTGATTTCCTTGCGAAGTAAATACTTGAACCCAGACATTTTCACGACATTGGACTTGGTTGATAGAACTCTAGCTGGTTACTTATAATTTACGGAATCTCTTATTTAGATATTGACGAGTGTTCGGGAATTAATGATTGCCATAGTGATGCAAACTGTACTGATACAATGGGTTCCTATACCTGTGAATGTAAGCCAGGTTCCACCGGAAATGGCAGAAGTTGTCAAGGTAGGGACAAGTTGATTCTCTTCTTTAACATTTGCAAATGGTTGACTCAGATATGAAATCTCGAAAGGTCGGTGCCGGCCGGTGTAGGTAGTGACGGAGATGGCATGCCTGAAAAATATCAGCAGAACGTCAACGTTTCGAGTGAAGGCCCTTCGTCGCGAAGTTATAGTAACCTGGATCGGTCAAATTACATGACGTGCTTTTGTACAAAAGGCGTAGTACTCCGGATTTTTAGCACACTAATAGAATGGACCCGCGAACACAGTTGCAAGAATGTTCTGAACACTCGTGTAACCATTTCCTGTTAGACTAGTGCAGTTCTATTAGTGTATTCTATAAACAGTAAACTGAGCAGCCTGCCAGTGAAAATAAAAGCGATCACGGGGAAAAAAAAACAATCAGATGGATTTAGTCCGTAAACATAAATATAAAATTAATCACATGTATCTTAGTAAGGAAATTAATAATATACATAAAGATATTACTCGACTGTGATTGGTTGATTTCAGTAAAGTTAATCCCAAACAGCCGTGCAATTTTCTGTAATCACAGTGCAATTTTTTGTAATCACAGTGCAATTTTCTGTAATCACAGTGCAAAAATCTGTAACAAACTGATCTGATTGGTGGAAAAACATTGTGATGATTAAATCAACCAATCAGTTTAAAGAAATTTAGTTTAAAGAAGTAACGGTCACAGATTGCTTCAAAACAAAACAAACATGGCGCCGCGCTACACAAGTAAAAGTTGCCTTCGCGTGGAAAATATGGCTTTTATCTTTATTTTTAAATGGAAAAGCAGTTACCTTAAACAAGACTAACAAAAATTACATAGTTGAGTGGAATTTTCAAGCTGTTAGCGTTGTATAATGTGATATAACAAAGGCAGGAAAACTTTGTCAGTGGAATGTTCGCTATAAACGCGTAAGTTAAAACTACAATTGTCTCGAACATTTTTATGTAAATTATTAATAAGTAATAGCATGGTTTCTCGTGAAATTTGGATAAACATGCACTCGTGAGTTTTTCAAAGACCTCAAATAGCACTCGTCCTTCGGACTCGTGCTGTTTTGAGGTCTTTGAAAAACTCACTCGTGCATGTTATATCCAAATTGCACTCGAAACCATGCTATTACCAAAACAAATAGGCCTGATACAAACCTTATTAACAAAAGTCAATGTTTTTACAACCGCATTTCGGTTCTAAATCTGACTGGTTTATGAGACAAAAGATTTTTTAATCTGTCACTTGATCAGTGAACTATATATATATATATATATATATATATATATATATATATATATATATATATATATATATATATATATATATATATATATATATATATACCTATATATATATACCTATATATACATATACCTATATAAACTAACAAATTTGTTAACATAACCTAACTGGAAAGCAATCAAGCGTTATTCACACGGACGCGGAAAAGTTTAAATCTTTCTAAATTTTATACAAATACTAATTACATGAACAAATACGTTTCAATTCATGCACAAAATAAGATGCTGTGCTTTTATTTATTCAGTTATTTTATAAGAAACTTTCAAAGGGATTGAAATTAAAGCAGCTTTGCATTTCTTTTCCGGCAGCCGGAAAGTGATTGGACTAAGACCACCAGGGCCGTCGCGAGCGGGGGTGTGTGTGGGGGGGGGGGTGCTTCACCCCCCCCAATAATTTTCGCAAGTCGGCCCCAGTCGGCAAATTGCTTCGTTACTGTTCGGCAAATTGCGAATTCGGCATTCAGCAAATTGTAAAAGTTGAGAACGAAGGCGATAAATAAAGCGATAAATTTTGGATTTAAAATAATGGTTTGTGTGGCCTTATACCATTTAAATGTATTTCTATTTTCTAGTAATAATATTAGTCTTTTATTTGTCGAAAATCGACGGGAGGCTGAAATGTGAAACCCACGTTTCCGGGCATGTTCTTCGCTCGACTGCTCTCAAGCGA